AATATTAAAAAAAAGAAAAAAATTACTTATTTTATGAATACTAAAAAAAAAAGTTATTACATGAATGCTAAAAAAACGTAAATGAAAAGTTTTTTTCTGAATACTAGAGTATTTGTTTCATATGAATATTGACTTTACTAATATTTTGAAAGAAGATTCCATAATATACCCCAAAATGAGGGGGGTGTTGCAGTTTTTTGGGTATCACTTTGCTAGTGAGCCAGTCAAAATGAGCTGACTCCTTTTATAGTTCACCAATAGAAGAGTTAACCAATCAGAAAGCTCAAAATATTCAATGCGACGTGTATAAAGGCAGCCATTTTGTTTTTCTCCCAAAAAATCTCCATTGCCAACCTAATATCGAAGACTTAAAGAATTACTTAACAGCCGCTACTTTCTCTGAATCTTCACTGCCAAACTCTGATATTGAACAGATTACGGACTTCACTGGATTCCATATACAGAGACTGTGGCAAACATGGTTAACAGCAATTACCGTAGGTTGTCAATGCCTTGACAGTAGAAATATCTGAGACTTTATGTCACCCGAAGCTTTGTTAGCTCGACTAAAAGTCAAGAGAATCAGTTGTCAGAAATGCTCTTTTTTGTCTTCTTTGGAACTTCATTGTTGTATATATAAAAAGAGTTAATATCCAGTCCAATTTAATAAACCTTAAAAAGAAATTTTAAAGACAGAATAGCAATGGATAATTGGAAAATATTATAGGGGTTACCCTTTGCCACCTACATGGTTTTGAAATTCATATGTCTCTTTCTCTTATTGTGTGTGTTTGCTGGCCGAGTGTTTAACTCGGAAAACACGTGTCTCCTGGTATTTTTATCCCACCACAAAAATGGCGGACTAGAATGTGAGTCCGGGTAATAAATGAACAAAGTAACAACAAAATTATACAGTATATATATATATATATATATATATATATATATAAACAAACGATAAGTATGTATTAACAAAACAAGGTTATACATAAACAATAGAATTGTTGCGTGTTACAAAACAATTAAGAATAAACACGAAAAGAAGAAAATATTTAAATTAGTGAAAGTGTTTGTGTAGAAGTAAGTGTAACAAGCGTGTGTGATAGGCACATGTATATATATATGAATGTATGTGAGAATGTTCAAGAGTCAACAGAGGACCAATGGAAGCGAATGTGCTTCAACGACAGCGTTCTTATTTACGTTTGACATTCATCTGAAACCTAGAGAAAAAACGGAAAGAGAGAGAGTGACAGAATATCATTGCCTATTTATAGGGTTAGTGATGTCTCCTAGTGGCGTTTTTTTAGGAAAGTAAGTGGGGCAACTCCACAATACTCCCCACCTGATGGGCAGAATTTCATTCTGCCCATATATCCATAAGGTTTGTGTATGTTTGTTTTGTCCCTCGTAGGCTGAAAAGAAAATAGTCGATGTATGTTTGCGATGTATGCGTTTAAACATGTCGACGAAAATGTACTTGTTTGAAGTACTGTGTCATATAATTCTTTAGTGGGTCACGCGCTGCGATATATATCGATAGTGTAGAAAAAGTGTGTTTAGCAATTGGTATTAAAATTTTGTTTTCCACTGCTCCACGTTGAATTGATTTCGCTTGGAAGGCCTTGTTTGTTTGCTGTATGTGGATGGTGTTGGTGTACAAAAATTTTAATAGAAGCTTCGATTGGTAAAGTTGTTGAGCTGGTGTCGGTGAATTTGCTACTGAGTGTCGAATACATGTTTGCGAGAACTTTTGAAGATATTTGATATTATTGTAAATTTTTCTTTTCTCGGAGACGCAGCTATCTCCGTGTATTATTAAATCATACTTGCAGATTTCTTAGTTTGTTCCTGTTAACATCTTTGAAGAATGAAAAAGGTCAGTGAGTCGCCTTTGGAATTATTTCACCCTTTATCTGCTGAGCCTAGGAGAAACAGTGTAGTTTAAAGTTGAAAATGGAGTTGGCTTCTATGGTGTTTTGAATAGTTGTTGTGGCCTTGTTAGAGCCAGAAATAAAGTCACAAAGAGAGGAATTGAGTTAAACAAATATATTAACAGAAACAGTAATAAAAACATATACAAACGAGAGTGTTACAGCAAGAATGTTCGGTCCTACTGTCAGAGTTGACTGCTGGAAACTTCCCTCTCCAAAAGGCAGTACCTGCTCCTATTTTTAGTTGAGAGACTCCATGCGTGCGTGGGTAAATTACCATAACAATAGTATTTTCTCGTGTGATCTTGAAATGTGATGTCTGCCGGTTGAGGTAAATTCAGTGAGAGTGAGAAAAGGTTCAAGTAAAAGCAGTAGAGATGAGATGAGTGCTGACCGTGCCATCATAGCAGTTATTGCAATGGCGATTGGGGATTGGGGTGGGGTGTAGGATCACACGTGTTGCAAAGAAAATATTTGTTGACTCGGGGAATATCTTTTCTACATGGTTATGTTGGATAGATGTATTTTTGAGTTTCCAAATTTGCGATTTTAATCTTTACATGAGAGTTAATCACACATTTTGAAACTAAGTTATTTTTGTTGACAGATTTTCGTATCCTCGGGTTTGGGATGGTAGGTAGAAGTTGGTCGAAGATTTTTCTTCACTGTCTCTCGGTTTAAAAAAGTATATAAACCATGCATGAGGTTGTTTATACAGTTTTGTCTGTTCTTGTATACAGGAGAAAAAAAATCATGTCGGTGTCACCGATTTGTTGCCGGTGACATGACAATCTGGATGTATGAAAGAAAATACATTTAAACTAGTGAAGGTATAGAAATAAGTAACAAGCGTATGTGATAGACACATGTATATATATATATATATATATATGCATGTGTGTGAGAGAGAAGTCAACAGAGGATCGAGCAAAGCGTTCTTATTTACGTGCGACTTACATCTTAAATCTACAGAAAAAAACCGGAAAGAGAGAGTGACAAAATGTCGTTGCCTACTTATAATATAAGGGAGCGTCACTTAGCGACGGTTTTTTTTAGGAAAGTAAGTGGGGTAACTCCACACTTTTAGACTGATTGCTCTCCAAGGCTAGATAACTCAGTCTACTCTACTATTTAACTTTTACATGGGAAAGAAGAGATGGATTCATGCCTTTACCAAGGGAATTATTGTGAAAGTGAATAAAATAGACTAGCCTGAAATTTGAACTTGGTTAGCCGATACCACTTTCCATATTAATATCCCTTACACCACTCGCACATTACTGTTATTCTTAGAAAGGGATACATAGCCAAGATCACAAACAGGCTAACATCGCGCCATGAAAAGAACTGATGTCGCTAGGGTTGCGTTGTCAGATAAATTCGTTCGTTTTTTTTTTTTTAAATTCAGCAACAGTTTTAGCAAATCAAGTGAAGGTGAGAGCATCCCATCATCTGAGCCAATTCCTGAGTGGATTGGCACCGATCGTCGTGGATGAGCTCGTTTAATCGGTCTTCATTGAGCTGAACAGGTCAGGCGGAACGAGGCCAAAGTTCCCCTTCCCCAAAGTTCCTGATTTAAGGCCAGAATGTTAATTCTGTTTACTAAGTAAGAAATAAAAGACAATTTTCAAATTTTCGATATTAACCTTATTGAATAACATATTTACCATTTTATTGAACAATATTCCTGCATCTTTTAGCCAACTTCCTAATTTCATCCTTCCAGGAATTTTTTTTTTGAAAAATCCTTCCCAGAAAAGAATTGCTGTAGCTTTAGGCGCCTTTTGCAATCTTCCAGGAAATTGAATAATTTTCCATTCAGACTAATTTGTAAGACCGGAATAAATGATAATTCACACATCATTCATATCTGCTGCATATGGCAGACGGATGAATGTTAAGCTGTGGGAGATTTTAGTGGTCACACACACACACGCGCGCGCGCACAAACGCGCGCGCGCACAAACGCGCGCGCAAATTCACACACAAACTCACGCACACAACCTAACATGCGCGCGCACACACGCACAAACTAAGACACGTACACACACAGAGACTCACACACAGACTCACGCGCACATGCATACAAACACAAACTCGCACACACGCAAAGGTTTAATGCTATCCTGATAGTATATTATGCTCTTTTTCTTAACTAATTACAGATACTTTTCACTGACTGTTGACTTTAACAGAACTATATCTTGTAGTGGTACTGTTATTTATATTATTCGGACTATTGTCATCTTTGTCACCGTATTTATTACAACGTTTCGGCCGTTGTACACTCCGGCCTTCTTCAGGTGGTTGGAATGTCGAACTGAACCCTTTATTTCACTCACTGGGGTAGACTGTTCTAGTTCCACATGCCGTGTCTAATTGATGTCAGTTATCGGTTACCTCCTGTTAATTCCGCTCTCCAAGTTCTCCACTGCCTTAACCTGGTATTGAACTCACACTCTTTGGGTCCTGTCACTGACTTGAGGACACATAGCACAGTAGATAAAGGCGTTGGTTAGAGCCTCCTAATGCTCTTGGTACATACAGCCTTTCAGCATCTGATCTCGGGTGGTGCATCCTCATTTGGGTAAGCATTTTTGGGGTCTTAGTGTCCAATTATTTAATGTCATTCAACTTCCATTTAATAATGTTGAATCTGTAATTTACTACGGGTAAGTGCTGATAGCCTTCATTTTATTGGCCCCATTTGTTCGCTTTCTAGTATCAAACGCACTCTCCTATAATAATTCTTTTCGGATCCTTTTCTTCATAGTTGAATGTTGTATTGTGTCTCCTTCATTGATTCCTAAGTATTTGAATGCACCATCTTGGTCTATTTCCTTAATCTTATTGTTAATATCAATGTCTAAATCTGTAGATTTCGTTAGTTTACCACATTTGAAGGTGGCTTTGACACATCTGTCGATTATTATTATTATTATTTTGTTGTTTTTGTTGTTGTTGTGCGCGTGAAGTATTCAGCTGTCTTAGACGGTGACTATAACAGATCATGTAACCGAAAATATCTTAATAGCTCAGCTTTTGCTTCTATGCGATAGATACAAAATGTCTTATTCTGCCCACATCTATCTATCTATCTATCTATCTATCTATCTATCTATCTATCTCAGTCCGCTCCTATCTATCTATCTATCTATCTATCTATCTATCTATCTATCTATCTATCTATCTATCTATCTATTTGTCTTGTGGGGAAGACTCTGCAGCCTCTTTCTTTCAAGCTCACAGTCTCAAACTCAGACCAACTCCATTCTTTAGTTCAATCAGTTCAGGCATTCTCAGCTAAGGCCTGCCATGTCATGCAAACAAGGCCAAATCGTTCTCATTCTCTTCATATTTCTTTGGTAAGAAGCCGTTTCCACTCAGGCAGCTTCTTTCTAAAAAAAAAAAAACGCTTCTTTGTGTAACAGATTCCCGAGTGGATAACTACAACCTTAAACACTTCAACTTGAGGACCAACAGTCATCTATCCTATTCTCATCAGCTAAACTTACTTTCTCCTCTTACATTCACACAGTAATCTTATTCATTAACCCTCTACCTTGAGTGGCTCTCGGGCATTGTATCAAATAATAAAAGTTAAAAAGAAAAATTAATGTAAGCATGCTGTATATAAAATGCTTTGTATGTATTCGGACAAATCCTTCCAAGAACCATTCTTTTTTTGTGTAACATACTCCCGAAAGGATGCTTCTCCAACCATTACAACCGTAACCTCTTCAATTCTAGAGTCAACATTTAACTATCTTATATATCCTCATAATCGGTACATAATTTTCCCTCCTAACATCGTTCAGTAACCCTCTACTTTAAGTGGCTCTCGGGATCTGTATGGTTCAATAGTGATCAAATAGAATGTGAACAAGTACAATAAAAATAGAGTTTGTACTTAATACTGAAACGGGAATCAATAAAATAGCCATTTACATCGACTGAAAGCGTCTAAGACAAAAAAAGCGTGGATATCAAACTGTATAATTGATTATATCCCGAAACGGTTCTTCAGAAGAAAAACAAAATCTCCATTTTAGTGATTTAATAAAAAGGCGTGACCTCTCCCTGAAAAAAAAAGAAAAAAGAAAAAAAAAAAAGAATTAACTTGCTATTTAAAGATTTTGTTTGTAAAGTTTTATAATTGTCTACTTATAGCGAGGCTCCACTTCAAATAATATGAAGACTGATACACGGACAAATCCGCAAACACAACGCACGGGCACGCACGCGCACGCGCGCGCGCGCACACACACACAGAGACACTGATCTATAAACACGTCTAAATTCATGTATATTAGTCGCGTATTAAAACCTTTTATAAGATTCGGTTTAAGCGAATCGTCTCTTCTTCACAAAAGTTCTATTCTCAGTGAGGTCGCCATTTTTCTGAACATGGCGCCCGACAAGTCTGTATCCGGTCGGATTTGTTGTGCTGGGATATTTTCGGTAAAGACGCGTCGGCGTTGGCAAAAGCTGCGATACAACGAAGTTCGAACTAAATCTATGTTAAGAAACAGACTCTCCAAAGATCTCAGCTTCGTTCCGAAAAAAAAAAAAAAAAAAGAATATTTTTATAAATTATATGGAGAATTCTTTGAATAAATATAGTAAGTAGAAGGTAAATGTAGGATTTTCAAGAGGATGCAAATAATTCCGAAAAACGTTGTTGGTAGGTTGAAGATGCTAAAAATCAATACACGATTTTCAAAACTTCCAGAAAATGAGTGTATATAAAGAAACAGAAAGAATGAAAAATGTACCACTGCTGATCAATAATGAACCATTGTTGAGCCTACAATTTAATACTCAAGAGCTATGAACTTACAGAAGGATTTTTAACTTTTTGTCTTTATTTTTTCGTTAAATGTTTGCAAAATACATTTTCGGAAAAAGCAAAAAATAAACGCGTACAAAAGTTGCAACCGCCCTAAGTATACAATTGAAACTAGTTTTTCGATAAAAAAAAATTCGCTCGTTTAATAACTTTCCCAAATACGAGAATCTTTTACGACAGCGAATGTTGGACTGTCTCCACAAAGATGAAGAAGAGACTCGAAGCAACGGAGGTATGGTTCTACAGAAGGATATTAAGGAGATCATGGACCGAGCGTAAGAGCAACGACGAGGTTTTTAAGAGGATGCAAACAAGGAGGAACTTTATACTTAACATAAGGAAAACGCAGCTGAAATTTCTGGGACACGTAATGAGAAAAGAGGGATCGGAGAATCTGATACTCACATGTCGAATAGAAAGAAAAAGAGACAAGGGAAAGCAACGTATGACATACCTGGCGGGCTTAAGCAAGTGGATGGCAGAACGTGGCCTGGAGGAGTTGACAGAGGGACGAAACTTATTAAGAGCTACAATAGATAGGAGGAAGTGGAGAGCCATGATCGCTTACGTCCTGAAGGAGCACGAAACATAAAAAGAAAGAAGTTCAGGTATTAATTTTTAAGCCTCAAGTTACAATTAATCTTTTGACTGGATGTAAGTGGCCTAGTGTCATTTTCTGATAGGGCTTTGCGTGTTTGATCAAGTAGACTGTTAATATTATCTTTTCGGGAAGGCATTTATGTATGTGTCAGTGATGTTCTATGTTTGAAAAGTGAATCAGATATTTCGTAACTTTAAGGAGAAATGGAAAATATTTTATATTTTTCTATTGCTTTTTTCCTTTTCTATTTTCTTTTGCTATTTTTTAATGAAATTACAAATTCTCCTACAGAAGGTAGCGACGGTGAGTGAGAAGAAAGAATAAACTAAAAGAAAACAGAATGCATGGTCATCAGTAAGAGGATGAGCCGGAAATGCGGCCTGAAAGTCGGGAACACTAGAATCAAGCAGACGCGGAAGTTTAAATACCTGGGAAGCATCTTGACAGAGGACGGTAAATGCGACACTGAGATCCGTAGACGTATTGGGATAGCCAAGGACGCATTTCAAAAGCTAGGCAGAGTATTGCGAGACAGGAGGATTTCTTTTGTAAGAAAGAAAATAATACCGAACTGTTACGTGACATTTGTCCTCCTTTACGGCAGCGAATGTTGGATGATTTTCTCAAAGATGAAGAAGAGACTCGAAACGGCAGAGATGTGGTTCTACAGAAGGATGCTATAGACCGAGTGTATGAGCTATGATGAGATCTTAAAGAGGTTGCAAACAAGGAGGAGGCTTATACTTAATATCAGGAAGAGGCAGCTGAAGTTTCTGGGACATATAATGAGAAAGGAGGGCCTGGAGAATCTGATATTCACGGATCAAATAGAGGGAAAGAGAGACAAGGGAAAGCAACGCGTGACATACCTGGCGGACTTAAGCAAGATGATGATAGAACGTGGTCTGGGGGAAGAAGCAAGGGGAAGGAACTTGTTGAGTGCTGCAAGGGATAATGGGAGGTGGAGAGCCATGATCGCTTACGTCCTGAAAGGACATGGCATATAAAAAGAAAAGAAAGAAGGTGGGCGGCGTGTGGTGGAGTGTAAGGCTTAGGATTCAACATTGAAAGTATCCAGGAGAAAATTATGAAAATAAATAAAGAGTAAAAAATAACTGCCAAAATGCGCAGTTTTCTATCGCATGGGCGACCACTTTTAGCACGCGTGTACGCACACACATACAAACGCATATATATAGTGTATGCGCATACATCAGGCTGAATGGTGCATGGTGACTGTCGTTTTCACGCTTCAATAGGACCTTCGGTTCGGGTTGTAACTTGGTCTGAAAATCGTATTAAAGTGTCAAATGGCAGTCATCGTACCCTTTTGATTCTTATGGACCCATTGACTACATCTATAAACACTTCATCTTCGATGTTCTTGCATTCTTCTTCCACCCCCTCACTCTCTTTATATATATATATATATATATATATATATATATATATATAGGGAGAGAGAGGGAGAATTTTGCTTATGCCTCTCTATAGCTCTTAGTTATTCCTATATCGGAAGTTAACTGAACCTCTTTATGTATTTCTCGAAATATCTGAATAGTTTTATCTATCTATCTATCTATCTATCTATCTATCTATCTATCTGTATTCAAATGTATTTTTTTAATTCGACATTATTTCTTATTACTATAAACGTGGGAGTGAAATTGGATCGATGGAACCTTCCGAGAGATGTCGATGGTTTGAGCGTGCTGTGGACGTGTTAAAAAATTAATCTACAAATAAATGAAAAAAAAATCTATCTGAGTTTCTTCATTATCTATCCATTTTAGTTTCTTAATTATCTATATATCTATGTATTTCAGTTTCATATCTATCTATCTATCTATCTATCTATCTATCTATCTGAGTTTCTTAATTATCTATCTATCTAATAATCCACTTGTATTGATATATTTTTATTTACATTATTTACACTGGGACTATTATAATCATCTGACTTCCGTTTGACATTTTTGCTACTTAATTTTAATTTGAAGTATTTTTACTTCATTCCATCGAAATTGGTGGCTACACTTTTGTCTCTATACATGATCAGCCATGTCTGATTTCATTGTCCCGCTCCTAATTACGGTTTTCTGATGTTCCTCCCTCCTTACCTTTGTGGGCGGTTGGTTTCTCCTTTGTATTCCTTGCCACAAGTATATAGGATGGAATGCGCAGTGTTCTTTGTTATGTTCTCGTCTGTGTAAGGTTTAACTCGGTAGCAATTTCTCCATAGGCTTCTGAATATTGTTCTGTTTTAAGGACTGCAGATTGGTATCTTTTTCGATGAGCTATTGGCGACTCTTCTATTTCTCCATTTCTTCGAAGTATTTCATGTATATGATCGGGAGAAGGAAATCAGGCATGGCTGATCATATATGTTTGGAAAAGAGTAATCACCAACTCTAGTGGAATGAAATAAACATAATAGTTTGAGAAAAACACTGGAGTGTCAGATATTCTGATAGAATCAGTGCATATGCTAGACTGTGAGGACCGCTTTTGCAGGCCCAGTATAGAGATAAATATGGAGCCTATTAATAAATAAGTAGATGCAGCAGTAGGAATCGAAAAGCCTTGGTGAATTCCTTTAATGTGACAAACTGTAACATTCCAACAGTAGGCGCTTCAAGTTTTTTTTAGTCATAGTGGATTAAATTGTTGGGTTCGTGAATTTGGCAATATAGTAATTGCGAGCTCAATCCTTGCTTCGGTTAATGCAGACTTAGACTCAGTTGAAACGGGGTGATTAATAACTAAGCAGTACTAGTTAAGAACTAGACGAGATATCCCTAAGCATGGATAACGGAACGGGAACAATCTTTACCTGTAGATTAAATAAAGTGTTCAGTTCGAAATTACCTGAAGGTTACCTGATTTGACAAAGGCTTACAGCCACCTCACGTCGTAAAACCGAATTTGAATTGATCCTTGTAAAAAATTCGTGCGACTTTCGGATAATAAGTGCGACATTACTGTAATTATTGAACAATATAGTTCATGCCACTTTGACAGAAAATTTACCAGTAAAAAATTCGTTCATCACCATATTTATATGAACGCACAACCTTTAAAAATTTAAAATCAAACTCAGCGTTGCTACTGGCGCGCTCCAAAACAATAACTCATTTTCAATAGCATTTTCGGATACAACAATACATATATTTTCGTTGTCCTCTTATTACTAAGAGAAAAAACAAGAACAACATCTATTCTATACCTGAAGATGTCTGTAGGAACAGACGAAAGCTTGTAGTAAAAATAAGAACTAATACGGCAGAAATTTATGGAAACAAGGATCAATTCATTCATAACGGATTTGGAGGTTTTTGTATATTATTTGAATTGTTTGCGATGATGGATTTCTCGCCAATTAAATCATTAACCTTTGCTTTTGTTTTTGTGTGAATAATTCATGAATATATATATATATATATATATATAGGGAAAGCGTGCTCAATTTCGGGTGAAAGGGAAAGAAAGAGCGGAATAGAGAGGATGAAAGAGAAAGAAGAGGGAATAGAGAGGGTGAAAGAGAAAGAGAGGGGGAATAAAGAGAGTGAAGGAGAAAGAAAAGGGGAGAGGGCATTTATAGATATCAACAGCGTGGACATAGGAATCAGCACTGCATAGACATAGTGACTGTCTATTTCAAACTTCAATGCGATGTCCAAATCAAGATTAACTTTTATGTTATCTCTCTCACACACACACGCGCATGCAAACGCACGTACACACACACACACACACACACACACACACACACACACACACGCGCACGCGCGTGCGCACAAATGCTAATGGAAGAAGAATGCTCAATATCAGGCATAGGTAGATGTAAATTGCCAGTCACAGTGCAAGTATTAAGTTCTATGTCCACATACACAATCTATCTATCTATCTATCTATCTATCTATCTATCTATCTATCTATCTATCTATCTATAAATAAAATGAATCCTAAAGAGCCAGGAACAACCTACCTAGATTTCACTTAAATGGATCTTCAGGGTAATTTGGCCCAGGATATCCGTTTAGCTGAAACCTAGTAAGGTTGTCCTTGGCTCTTTAGGATTTATTTTATTTATCTTAGCTTTACTCAGCGTATTGAGCACTCTACGTTTTAGCTTTATTACTCGCTTGAGTTTTTCTTTGGACTAAAAACTTAAGGCAATGGACGATGTATATATATATATATAAGGAATTAATGGGTTTTTATTTGTAATCTGACATGATGTGTTATTACTCTATATATTGTATATCTCTGTTTTTAAGCAATGTAATTACATTGTTTAAAAACAGAGATGTCTACTGCAACACATGTATCCACCGAAGATGAGAACTTATTTACGCTGTTCGGACTGTTGTTCTCTTCTTTGTTGCCATATTCACGAGGTTTCGGCCGCTTTACGTTCTGGCCTCTTTCAGGTGATTGGAATTTATTTCGTCCGCGGGTGTAGATTGTTCTAGTTCAACATGCCATGCCTCTTCCAGATATTTCAGTATCATTTATTTCCCTTTAACGCAACAGATTTTGTTCACCTGTGAGTTCAATACATGTCCACAGCAGTTAACATGTATTGAACTCACAACTCTTTGGCTCGTCTGGATTAGTTTAACCAACGATTTTTGTCTTGTCGCACACACACACACATATATATATTTAGTTGGTAAGTTTGTGACCCTGGGTTTCACGCATTTGCCATCGTCAGATGTTTGAAACTCACAAACTCACATCAATTCAACTAAATATGTTAGCTCTATCTTTGATATTGAGCACTTTCCAATACGTACCGCGCATATAATATATATATATATATATATATATATATATATATATATAAACTATTTACATTATTCGGACTATTCTCCTCATCTTTATCGCTATATTTATTACAACGTTTCGGCCATTGTTTAAAAACAGGTGGTTGGAATGTCGAACCGAAGCTTTTATTTCGCTCATTGGGATAGACTGTTCTAGTTCCACGTGCCATATTTTAATGGCTGTCAGTTATCAATTCCCCTCTTAAGTTCTCTACTGCCTTAACCGGGTATTGAACTCACACTCTTTAGGAACTGTCACTTTATCGCCTTTATCTACTGTGCCAGGTGTCCTCGAGGACATCTGTGTGTGAATCTCTGGGTATTATAAACCTAATGGTTTTTTTTAAGCATTACGCCCTGAGCAAAGCGTGAAGCCACTAGGATGCAGAAGATTTGGAGCGAGAGCAGATAGGAGTGATAGAAAAAAGATGAGGAGAGGGATAGTGGATAGATCAAGGTAACTGGAGATGTCGATTGACATTACATTTGAATAGTTGGAGATTATAACTCTCAGGGAAACAGTAATTGGGAAGGCGAGAGGTGCGAGACATGAAGCTATTGGAGTAGAAGGGACGGCTACATTTAAAAGTTTCTACAGTGTAAGGGTGGGAGACGGGATGCCAGCCTCGTAAGACGCTTGAATTCATGGAGTTTGGGAACCAGTGAAAGCAGCTCATCGGAGCAATTACCATGAAAGTATTTGTAGAAAAGACAGAGAGAGGCGACGGCGCGTCCGTGAGACAGTGACTGTAGACGAGATGCCAGATCAGGGCCAATTATATTACCTATCAATCTCTGGATCTTGTCAAGAACTCCAAGTTAAACAGAAGGTGCCCCAGACTATATATTGCAGCCATACTCCATGCAAGGGCGAATGGTTGATTTGTATATTTGAAGTATCGATTCCGAGGCGAAAGCAATTGACTCAATGTATTTGTTCCATCTCAGGTCAGCTGTCAACGTGAGACCGAGCAGACGCAGAGAGTTGCTCTCAAGAAGTTGACTATCAGACATTCTAATGGGGGAGGGGGCGCAGGGAAGGATCTCTATGGTGATTAATAGAGAGTAGTTTAGTTTTTGAGGCGTTAAAGTTGACCAGCCAATTCTTCTTCAGCAAATATATTTTTACCAGTGTTCATATTGCAATTTTTGCTGTTATCAATTCACGTTTTTACCAGAGCTCATATTGCAATTTTTGTTGTTATTATCGCTTTTCTCTGGCACTCCTTATTGCTGGTTCCCATATTGTATTCATTTTTATGCTTGGTCGGCTCATGAGATTTTTGCATCCTAGAATATATGCTGATTCCTTAAGTTTACAAATTTTCCAATGGTGTTCTTTGTCTATGATCTCAAGCTGATTCCACAGAGGGCGGTGATCTCCCTTTTTTCTCCATATTTGGTCAGCCGCACCTGATTTTCCAACTTCCTCTCGTGTTACAGTTTTCTGGTGTTCTTGAAGCCTTACCTTAAGGGGGCGGCCTGTCTCCCCTTTATATTTCTTTCCGTAGCTGCACGGTATGGCGTGCACACAGTCATTAGTCATGTTCTCCTCTATGGGGTGGGGAGTCTTACACGGGAGAGATATCTGCGAAGTGTCGTCCAGCTTCTGAAAGTTGTCCTGATGAAATATAGACACACACACACACACACCCACCCACCCACACACACACACACATATATATTTATATACATACACTTTTCATATGTATATATATATATATATATATATATATATATATATATATATATATATATATATATATATATATATATATATTATCAGAAAGTGATAATTCAGAAAAATATTTTATAACCAATGCCGAGTTAACAAATAAGTAACGTATTTGATTTTTATATTGCAATGTATATTTGCATCATCCTCAGTGAAACTTTCCTTTCTTGTAAAATACATGCATATATATTAATAAGTAATTAATAAAATGAAATAGAATCTAGAAGATGGAAATAGAACAAAGTATATATTTTACAAAAACTTACGTTACTGTTATATATTTACCAATCATTCATTTCCTTTTCTTTGTGATGAGGTAACCAGTTGTTACGGTAAGAGGAGGCTTTATACAATGCAAATAAGGAATATGCCTTGTGTTAATATAACAGTAGGATATATTAATTAGAGGAAACCAGGATGATAATATATTGGTTTTTACTTATTTAATTTGTTTCTACAGAAGGGTGCTGAGCAACAACGAAGTTTTAGAGAAAATAGAATCAAAATGGAAACTTGTACTTAACACCAAGAAGGGAAGGTTGAACGGCAGATAACGAGGAAAAAGTGTTTGGAAAATCTGATAATCACAGGACAGATTGAAGGCAAGAGGGGCAGAGGAAAATGATGTATAACCTTCTTAGTGAGTTTGATGGCAGAACAAGGTCTAGGAGAAATAACAAAAACAAAAAAATTATTAAGAGCTACAAAGGACAGGAAATAGTGGAGAGCCTACGCCCAGACACGGCACATAAAGAATAATAATAATGAGAAGAATTTTGGTTGTTACTTTTAATAATTGCGACATGCGATAATCGAATAAATTTTATAGATAATTATCCTAGATTATACATTTTGTTTAGTGGCATATCAACATCTCTATGGGTTACTTAATGCCGAAATATAAATATTTTGTACGTAATTTTATGCTTTCAACTAAAGATATGTTGTGCATAATTTTATAGTTTCAGTGTAAAGGTAGTTTTATATATATATATATATATATATATATATATATTGTAGATCATAAAATGTATTTTTGGTAATTTTACTATAAGAATATATTTTTATATTTCTTAGTGTTGCATTGGTTGATGCATTACTATAAAAACGTGTTTTTGTTCATTTTATTATAAAAAAAAATGTACTGTTAATTTTTGTTTGGGGTTCATTATTTGCCCATAGTTGGGACCCAAACAGGTGCTACCACCCCAGATAAGAGTGGACCTGGGAACAACAGTAATTAAGAGGTTTTCTCACGCTCCTCAAAACCTCCAATCTCCTAATCAGAAACTTTGCTGCTGGATGTAGTTTATCGTCATACCCAGGACTAGCAGAAAATACCTAAATGAAATTGGAAATTTAACAAAAATATCGCTGTCATTTTTTTTTTGATAGAACGAGATAACTTGTGTAAAAAATGGGGGTTCAATCAGTCAATTCAGTGTCATACGTAATACACAGTTTGGTGATCATGTATCTTTCGATACATGATTGATTAGGCAGAGGATTTTTTCCCGCGGTAGGTTGCCATTGATTTAAACTGGTTGCCAACAAAGGTTAAAGAACCCAGTCTGTCCTTCTGTTCAAATTATAGCAAGTTTATCTAACGAACTTGACTGGGATTCGAACTCGGCTCTCCGAATTCTCATTCCAAGCCGAGTTCGGGTTAATGAAGTTAAGACAAGATTCTCTTGTCAGAGTCTTGATCAAGCGTACTTTTTTCTTTGTAAGGACGGTTATTACAATCTGATTGTTCTTGATTCAATTACCAACCTGATACAATCAGGAAAGAAAGAGTACTATTTTAGATTTCAGCTGATAAAAAAAGATTCTGACTTGTGAAAAGGTCTTTTATTTACAAGGCTTTCGTAGAGTTCAACTGAGAGAAAAAGACGAAAGAAAGTAGAAAACAGAAAAAAGAAAACTATTTTTCGAGATTGTAAATCTGTCAATAATACTGGGTTTGTAATAATAACACCAAGACTGACTAATGAACTAAAGTAGTGATTTGTAATTGATGAATAGAATCAAATAGTTAAAAAAAGACAACAACACCGACTATTAATGTTTCTTTAGGTCGCGTGTTTCCGGATGTTAGTGACCATGTTTTTGTCATTGCAATTCAATTACGTTCGTATTTTGACATTTAGTAAAGGAATAAAACAGAAGACAAAACAAATTTGGCAATTTCATTTTACAAACTAACTTGGACAGATTGTTTGATATTTTTAATCTTTTCTTTTAATTTTTCTTGCTTCAAAAATGAAGTTTTTTTTGTTTTCTTGTTTTTTCGTATGTATTTTTTTAAATACGAAACGTTGCTGATTTAATGACAGAATGGTTAGGCTCGATAAAAATTGGCAAATCCTACCATACTGATCAGAATTTA